GTGTGAAAAACCTGAGAACAGATGCTTATGTAAGGAAAATGCTGTTCACTCAGTAAAGCGAAAAAAAAAAAAAAAAAGCACATAGATAATGCTGGCCATATATTGCCTTTCTGACATTTCCTTAGGAAACTGCAAGAGCCTCCCCTTCCCCCAATAAGACCATTGAAGTGTGTGTTAACTACAGAATACTAAATAAAAAAGTTTAGCCAAAACAAAAGTATAACTGATTTTATATATATCAACATTTATCTTGGCTTCCTAATATTTAATGCATGATTATGGAGGAATGTGGAATGATGAAGCTCATAGAATTTGAACCTTGCCTTGGTCCTTAAATTCAGTTGTTTTTGGTCAAACATTCTTCTAAGTGGAATAGCACTGGTCTGTCCATTTGCTGTACAGAGGTAACTCGTGGTTGCTGTGATGCTGAACACTGTGACACTGATATGTCAAATGGTAAATAGCTTGCCTCCCCAAACCCTATGAACTTGGAGAAATGATGAAAGTTATACAGGGGTTTAGGTCTTTAATTCATAGGGTTGCTATGAGTCATCTATGACTCGATGGCACTTAACAACAAACAACAATATTAATGAGAAATTTTCATTAACAACACCTGAATCCTACTAAAAATATTTAAAAAGGAAAAAACCTTTAATTAAATACATTTATTAAATAAAATGAATTGCTAAATGGAATTTAAAATTAACTTTTATTTCTTTTAAGCATCAAGAGTTTAGGGTCTAAGTAACAACTCTTCAAAGTTATATAAAAATCTGCTTAGAGAGCTTTAAGTCCATTTAAAATCACATAGTGGCAGCTATCAGGTCAGGTGGGAAAAGCGTGTCACAGATGATAATTCCAGTTTACTTCCATCTCCTTATCTTGAGATTCGGATTATAGTTTGCTAAACAAATTATCCATTAACTGGGTCTATATTTCTGAGAGAAAGGAAGGTCTGTAATTTATGGTCAAAATCAATAGCTCTATATTGAGGGTCCTTGTATTTCCTGGTCATCTTGGCACCCAAGTATGTTATGAGTTCACATCGTTCTACAAACTGGTCCATCTTCTTTTTATATTTTTTCCGTGTATATTCAGATCCTTTTGGATTGAATGCTGTAGAAAATGTCATAGAATCATGAATATTTTTGTGTTAAATTAGCAAGCCAGAGAAAGATAAATAAATGTATGACTGAGTTATACAGCTATCCAAAACCCTACTGCTATGAGTCAGTTCCAACACCAGTGACCTTCTGAGGCAGAGCTGAGCTGCCAGACAGGATTTCCAAGATTGTTAAACATTTTGAAGGCAGGCTGTCTCCTCTTCTCCCAAGAAGCCTTTACCTCACTGACCTATCAGCACCCTGATGCCTAATCCACTGGGTCACCAGAGCTCATGATTTATCTATGGCTAACAAAATATCCAAATCTCAAATAGGATTTGTGGATTATTAATGAATGATTGAAAACCCAACCTTTCTTTAAAATGAGTGATGATTTTAAAAAAAAAACACCCTACAACTGTTCGATTTTTATTTTTCCTTTAAAATATTTCTCATATATCTCACTAGCACATACAGTCACATACCAGCCCAACTCAACAACCCTATTTCTCACTGGTGAGTTCTGTGTAGAATATAACTTTTGGAAAAGACATACCTTTTAGATGAAATGCTATAAATAATAGTGCAGACCTTCGTATGCTTAAGAAGGGGAATTTGGGTTTTATGCATCCAACTGCATTCATTGCTTTAATTAGAGAAGTCGCAACACCCTGTAGATAAGAAACAACTTAAATCGTGTATATTTGGATTGGGCTTAGTGGTATAAGAAAATGCTATTTACCTCAAATAGCCTCCTGGGACTGAGGAGGGGAGTTGGAAGTAAGGACAGAAGACCACATATGCCAACGGAAGATAAATTGGAAAATTATAAATTGGCTATGGCCATTGGGGTGATGGGTTTCATTACACAATCTTACACTTGTTTGATATTTTTACTAATAAAAGTTAAAAAATAACAGTCAATAATCAACAATAAAAAGAAAAAAGCCGGGGTTTGAGTTGTCTTAGCCCATTCCAGCTTCAGTGCTCAGCAGTGACTGACTGCCTCCACTGTAGAATGCCCACTGAGAGCTGCAGCGAGACCAATTGCACTACAGCGAGGATTCTGGAGCCCAAAGTGGACAAAGGCTCCATAGGAAACATACCCTCTGGAAATTCTCTGGGGGACCCTCAAGTTTGCATTTTATGTAGAACAAAGTGACCACTAACTATGTATTGAAGAAAAAGAGGGAGCGTGGAAAACAAAAGGACAACTATATCAATCCACTATTACACAAATCTAAAGAGTTACACACAGAAGTCACTCTTGGATACCAGGGATGAGACGGGAGTGACATTGAATGGTAATTAATATACATAATGAAAAGACAACAGGTGGCACAGTACCACTGAGGATAGGCACAGATGTATAATATAGAAAGCCAACAAATGTCAGCAGTGTTACACAATAAAGAACTAAATTACATATCCACATGAAATGCAAATAATGATCATCTAAACTTAATACAAATATATGAGACTTAGCTACAGAAGTAGGGATATTTCACATTTCTAACAGTCACAAAATAGGTAAGGTTCAAAGTTTAAAGTCAGAATACTGTTTTGACACTTTCATTGTTACCAAAATAAAGTTAATTGCTAGGAAGAGTCACTGCACTCTTCTAATAGATATATATATATATACATGCAATAAAGAAGATTATGCAGCTGAACCTGTTCTAAGTATCCAGGCAATGGAAGACTGGTAAGAAGTATAGGTTCCTTTAATGGGGGAAGTTTGTTTGGAAGTTTTTGATTCCAGTATTTCAGTGGTGACCTGAGAACACAAAATTTATTAAATGCACTCACAAATATTTATGAATATAGAAGATCATAGGTAAGTTAATAACAAGATGTGTGCTGTTGAGTCGCTTGCAACTCAGTGACCCTATACAACAGCCCTAAACCTTGCTCTATCCTGTGCCAATCTCACCTTTTCTGTTACACCCATCCTGATTACCCCAGTCACTGAATCAGTCCACCTAATAGAGGGCCTTACCCTCCCTGTACTGTCCTTCCACCCTTTCAAGTATGATGTCGCTCTCCAAGGACCTGGCCTTCCTTAACATGTCCAAAGTATATTAAAGCCCCAGAATACTTGCCTCAAAGGTTCTGCTTGGTTTAACCTTCTCCAGGATGAACCTGTTCGTTTTCCTTAGCAGTCTATGGTATGTACATTCAGTACTCTGGCTTCACTGCTCAAAGGCATCAATTCTGTCTTCCCTAGTGGTCCAACTCTCTGATGCATAACAAGTGATTGCAAAGACCATGACCTCTTTTAGATGCACCTTAGTCTTCAGCACTTTGGAAAGGTTCTGGCTGCTGGTTCCAAGAGTGCTTAGTGTTGCTAAGCAAACTGAAGCTGTGAACAATCTCTTCACCGTCCATCCTGATGCTGCCAATTAAATTGGTCCAGTGGTGAGAATCTGTCGTCTTGACATTGGGCCTCAATCCATATTGAAGATTGCAGTCCTTGACCCTCTGCAACAAGCATTTCAGGTCTTCAGTTTCAACAAGTAGGGTTGTGTCATTTGCATAACGCAGATTGTTGATAGATCTTCCACCAATCCTGACCCCACATTTCTTACAGCACCCAGCCTCCTGGACAATCTGCATAGAGGTCGAAAAGGTATGGAGACAGGACACATCCCTGGCATATACCCTTCCCAATTTCGAACCACACAGTGCTTCCTTGCTCCATTCTGACGACTGCCTCTTGGTCCAAGTGTAGGTTTCACATTAGCACGATCCAGTGTTCTGGTATTCCCATTTTTCTCAGTCGGCCACACTTTGTTATCCACACAGACACCTTAGCATAATCAATGAAACAGACATTCCTCTGGTATTCCCTGCTTTCAGCAAAGAACCATTTAACACTAGCTACAGTATCCTTAGTACTACGACTTCTAAATCCAGCCTGGACTTCTGGCAGTTCTCTGCTGATGAGCTGTTCAAGTGGTTTTTGGATGATAATCTTCAGTAGATTCTTGCTTGCATAAATAAGTGGTATTATTCTGTAGTTTCCACGCTCGTTTGGGTCACCCTTCTTGGGGTTGGAAACAAGTATAGATCTCTTCCAGTCAGTTGGCCAAGTGGTGGTTCTCCAGATTTCTTGGCACAACCTGGTGAGCACATGCAGGGCAGCTTCTGTTAGCTGAATATGTCAATTGGTATACCATCTATTCCCGGGGCCTTATTTTTTGCTATTTCCTTCAAAGCAGCAGATAAAAGACTGAATTTGCTATCCTATTTTTTCCATTGGAGAAAATCACACATGGGCTGTAATTGAAAAATGCATGGCCACAGTTTCATCTGTGCCCCAAACCCTACTCACTCGTTCTTTCCATTCCCCTTTCATTTTGAGAATTTCCTTTATATGAATCGTTCCCTTGTATCTGCACTTAGACATATTAATACTTACCAAGTTTAAAAAGAAAAACCAGTCCTCAATTTGACATCCCTGGCAGTAACTTTCCTCTCCCCCCCCCCCTTAATTTTACTGTTAAGCTTCAAATGGTGAGCTTCCCTAAAGAATGCAAACTACTATACAAATTCCATTTGGAAGTGTGACAACCCACATATTTTTTCAAAATGTGTAAGAAGGAAACACGGGCTTCCAGTTTCTTTTGAAAACCAAATACCTGAAAACTTGAGTTAACACTTCCCTTGGGGGTGGGGCTATGCTCTCCAGTTTGGAGCAGTTTTCAGTTTTTCCACATCTGACTCACTTCCCTCATGAAACGAGAGCTTATGGCCACAAAAGCTCCTGAGTTCCTAACATCTGAACAGTAGGTATGCTCCTTACTTCCCATGTACACTCTGCAGGTGGCCTCCACTCTCCTGACTGAAACCAGTCTTGTCAAGATCACCAACGAACTGTACAGTCTAAGTCTGATAAACCCTTAAGCTCTTGTCTTGCTTGACTTCAAGTAACGTCATTGGCCAACCCTTCCTGGAGATAGCCTCTCTGTGTCCGAGTCTTCATGCAGCATCTGTGTGGATTCTTCTTTTTTCAGTCTCTCCTTTGACGACTCCTCTTCTAGTATATATTGGTATTTCTCAGATCTTGATCCTATCCCTCTGCTTTTCTACATCACCCTAAGTGAATTTGAACACATTAATCTCAGGAGTAAGTGACCTATTTGCAGAGTGCCAGAAATGTATCTTCAGCTGCTTATTAATGATACCTGGATTGCAATACACCTGAATGGAATGATTCTTGTTTTCCTTCCAAACAGCTTTCTTCCAGTGTTCCTGTCTCCGGAATGGCATCACTGTCCACATCCCTGACCCAAGTTTGAAACCTAGCATTCATCTTTGCCCTCACACAGTAAATTTTTCAGAGACCATAATAAGAGCAGAATGGTTGCTTAAGGTTTCTAAGGCTGTAAATCTTTACAAAAGCAGGTTGTCTCAGGCTGGGATATTCTAACTGCTGACCTTTGGGTTAGCGACCTAATGCTTAATCCACTCATTCAGTCTACTAAATTTCTCTTGAATCTGTTCTCTTGTCTCTATTCTAACACTTAATCACCAGAGACCACATCAAATTATTTTGTACAGGATACGTTGTTATTTGTCATTGAGTTGGTTCAAACTCACAATTGACCCCAAGTAACAGTAGAACTGTTTTCGGTGTTTTCTCAAGTGTAATCTTTAAGGGAAGGAGACCTGGTGATGTGCATTTTGGGTTGGACTGCTAATGGTAGAGTTTGACGTTGTAGTCAACTAGCTGCTTGGCAGAAGAAAGACGAGCAGTTCCCCTCTTAAAAATGTATAGCCTAAAACCCAGTGGAGGCTCATGATGAGTTAGAATTGACTGCTTGGCAGCTGACTGGGTTTAATCATAATCTGAGTAGATTGCAAAGTCTTTTCTCCCACACTGCCAACCTTTCAGTTAATAATTGAAACCTTAACAGTTGTACCACTGGAGCTCTTTACAAATACAAAACCAAGAAAACAACCAAACATACTGCCACTGAGTTGATTGCAATTCATGAACCTGCCACTGGGTTTTCCAAGGCTATAAATCTTTACTAGAGAAGACTATCACTCTTTTTCAAAATATGGGGTAAGTAGATAATTGACCTTAAGTTTGCAATGCTAATTCACAGTGCTAACATTGCAATATTAATTGCACACCTAATACACAGTACTAACAGAATGGCTTCCTTATCACTATATGGCTATCCTCCCAGCTCCCATTATAGTGCATGAAACACAGAAGATAGTAAATATATATTTGTGGCTTACTCAATTGTCTTACCTGAAAAACTTTTGGAGTTTTTCTTCAGTTTCACAAATATATATACGATCACGGTATTCTAAAGCATAGTTAATGTTACCTGGTATCAGGGCTTCGTATCTGAAACATAAATACACATAAAATATGATTTTATGTGTAATTAATATTCAATGCTATGTAAAGAAATATGTTAAAAGATTTTATTCTTTCTAAATATCTTGAGGAAGAAATAGAACAGCTTTCAATTAAAAGATTTTTAACCAAATTATTAAGTTTGGTCCACGAACGAGCCACATATTGTTACATGATCCACTTAGTCGAAGGGTCAAGACTTGCCTTTGTTTCCCATCCTGGTAGGTCACTGGACAATATCCTTGGAGCTCAGCACACTTAGGGAACCGAGACTTCAGCTCTGACAGAGTCAGTCTTTTGGGGATCATGTCTGCAGATGGGAGTGGATAAGGTGCTAATGGAGGCACATACATTTCTGGGTTCTCCAAGAATTTCTATTTGAAAAAAAAGGAAAATAGAGTATTGAAAACAGGAATTCCATACCAACCAAGTACCTACTGAAAATCATCTTCCCTTTTTCTGAAGCAGTGTCTAGCTAAGAGCTCTTCTCTGCTCTATAATAACATCTTTATTGGTTGGAAGCGTCTTATAAAGAATTCTATTCTCATTAATTCATACCAAAAAAAATGTTTGTGTTCCTACTATGTGCCTGGCACTGGAGAGTACAAACTGGCTTGTCTTCTGACTAGAGGTCAGTGATAGGTGACTTTTTTCTATAAAATGGAAAAGGTCGATCATATAAGTTCTGAAGTAACCTCCAATTTAAAAATTCCAGTATTAAAATTTAAGTAGGAAGAAATATCTTAAAATAATAAGAAGAAATGCTCTTAATGAAGGAACACAATTCTGAGAAATAAAGCATTGAGGTATTGCTTTCATAATTCTAGCTACAAACATTTTTATATCATAACAATATCTGAACAAACCTGTATTCATGTAAACAAAGCGAAGGCACACAGGGAGTTATGTTAGTAGAGATCTTTGGAAAGAACAGGAGACATACATCACCTCTTGCTTCATTTCTACTGTCTTAGACTTCCTTTCTGCAAGCACTCAGGATGGGTAACCATGGGATTAGCCTGGACATCACCCTCTGTCAGTGCGTTCTTGGCTAGGTTTCCCTGTTAGGCTCACCTAGGACCCTTCATTGACTTTGGGCTTATATTTTGTGTCAAAATTATGTTCAAAAGGCAATCTCCTGAACAATTTCTGAATTACCTCACTGGTCCCAGAGTCTCAGGTTCTAGTAATAATAATAATATGTGGTTCATGGCCTTATTTGAAGAATTCCAAGAGATCTTTTCTATCTATAGTATTAAGTATTTGGTGTTAAGAACAAACTTACATTCAGTTTTTCCAGAGAATTCATTTTATAGTAGTGCCCCCTGAACTCTGCAGCAAATTCCAAGGAGTTAGTGTTAGAGCAATCAAACAATTCATGCGATTCTGCTAAGCTGACAGGGCAAAACTGTCCAAATTCTCCCAGGTGAGAAACCAGTTCTTGAGGTGTGATACATAGCTTGTCAATGCAGGCAGATTTTCCTATTAACAATTAATTATAATTATTATATACACATATATATTCTTGAGGTGTGATACATGCCTTGTCAATGCAGGTAGATTTTCCTACTAACAATTTTATATATATGTAGATATATGTATATGTGTGTGTATAATCTCACACGTGCATATTAGTCCCTCTCAACACACGTACATACAAGCACATCTATTTAGGAAACCATGACCTTTTAAAATTGTGATTTAAGTGAAAGTTTGGCTTCACTGAATGGTTTTGCAGTGAGCCATTCATACAAGTGTTTTTTTTTTAATTTTATTTTTTACCACTGCTTTTTAAAAATTGCTATAATGCAATTACATAAGCACTTAATAAAGGCATATACAAATTACAACATTCCAAACAACAATAAAAACAAAATGTCATTGTCCTCTCAATACCTTTCCTATGAAGTTTTCACTAGTGAGTCTGTATCAATTTCAGACTTTTTCCTGCACTTTTGCACACACAGTTTATTACGGATGGGGATACAATGATGCAATCATCATTAGAATCCTCATTGCACTCTTACGTACAACATTCTCTCGGTTACACTTCTTAATATTACATCTTTTCTGTGGTCTCCAAAGTGAAACAAAGTCACCATACAATTGCCAGAGTCCTCTTGTAATTTTTTAAAGTCATTTAATTTTGTGTGTTTGTTTCTTATAAAACATATTTGCAATTAATAAGTCATTCTCCACCTTCATTTCTGTCACCAAGTCCATGTTTTCCAACTACTGATTCTTCTCTGTTCCCTATTTTTGCATTTCAGTCACCCATCACTGTTAATGCATCTTGACTGCATGTTCGATTGATCTCTTAACTGCAAAAGTTGGTAGAAATCTTCTATTTCCTCTTTGGCTCTGGCTGTTGGTGCATATATCTGAATGATAGTGGTGTTCACTGGACTTCTTTGTATGCGTATGGATATTAGCCTGTCACTCACAGTATTGGATTTCAAGATGGATCTAGAAATTACTTTTAACTATGAAAGCAACTCCATTTTTTCCTCACCTTCACATCTCTGGAGTAATATATGATCATAGACTCAAAATGCCCCATGCCAGTCCATCTCATCTCACCAATACCTAGTATGTCAATATTTATGCATTCCATTTCTTCTTTAACAATATCCCATTTTCCTACATTCATGGTTTTCACATTCCATATTCTAATTACTAATTTTTGTTTACTTCTTCCTCTATATTTCCATACCTGAAAGCTCCACCTCAGCTGCCCTATCTGTTAGTCTACGTGTGTTCTGTTGTACATAGGGTTTTCATAGGCCTATTATTTTGAAAGTGGATGGCCAATTCTTCTTCCTAGTCTGTCCTAATCTGAATGCTCAGATTTGGAGAAGTATCTGGTATGCTAATTGATGTATTTCACCTAACAGATGCTGCCCTAGATGTGCTCACCAAGTTGTGCCAAGAAATCTGGAGAACAACTACCTGGCCAACTGACTGGAATAGATCTATGTTTGTTCCCATTCCAAAGAAGGGTGACCCAAAAGAGTATGGAAATTATACAACAATATCATTGATTTCCCATGCAAGCAATATTCTGCTGAAGATTGTCCAAAAACCACTGGAACAGCACATCAGCAGAGAACTTACAGAAGTCTAGGCTGGGTTTAGAAGGCGTCATGGTACTAGGGATATTGTAGCTAATGTTAGATGGATCTTGGCTGAAAGCAGGGAGTACCAGAGGAATGTCTGTCTGTGTTTCATTGACTATGCAAAGGCATTTGACTGTGGATCATAACAAACCATGGCTGACTCTGAGAAGAACGGGAATCCCAGAACACTTGATCGTGCTAATGAGAAACCTATACTTGGACAAGGAGGAAGTTGTCAGACAGTGCAAGGAAACACTGCATGGTTCAAAATTGGGAAGGGTATACGTCAGGGGTGTGTCTATCTCCATACCTTTCCAACCTATTTGCAGAAGAGATGATCTGGGAGACTGGGCTCTATGAGGAGAACTGTGGGGTCAGTATTGGTGGGTGATGCATCAACATCTATGTTATGCAGATGACACAACCCTGCTTGCTGAAACTGAGGAGGACTTGAAGCGCTTGCTGCAGAGGGTCAGAGACTGCAGCCTTCAATATGGGCTAAGGCTCAATGTCAAGAAGACAAAGATCCTCACCACTGGACCAATTGGCAGCATCAGGATGGATGGTGAAGAGATTAGAGATTGTTAACAGCTTTAGTTTGCTTGGCTCCACAGTCAACACTCTTGGCACCAACAGCTGGGAAATTAAAAGACATACTGCGATGGGAAAGTGTGCTGTTAGGGACCTCTCCAAAGTGCTGAAGAGTGGTGTCATTCTGGAGACTAAGGTGTGCCTCATACAGGCTATGGTCTTTGCAATCACTTGCTATGCATCAGAGAGTTGGACAATGGCTAGGGAGAATAGAAAGAGAATTGATGCCTTTGAGCTTTGGTGCTGGAGAAGAGTATGGAATGTACCATGGACTGCTAAGAAAACAAACAGATTCATCCTAGAGAGGGTTAAACCAGGCTGCTCCTTGGAGGTGAGGATTCTGAAGCTTTGTCTGACATATTTTGGACATGTTGCAAGAAGGGACCAGTCCTTGGAGAGGTACACATCATACTTGGGAGGGTGGAGGGACAGCAGAGGAGGGGAAATCCATCTATGATGTGGATTGAGTCAGTGACTGGGGTAATCAGCGTGGAGGTGTTGGAGACAATGAGATTGACAGAGGACAGAGTAGGGTTTAGGGCTGTTGTACATAAGGTCGCTATGAGTCGCAGTCCACTCGACAGCGCATAAAACATTTTTTAAAATAGATGTCAGATGTAGATAGCTTTCTTTCATTTATTTTAGAGAAAGGTCAAGAAGCTATGTAGTCGGATTTTCTTCAGCCTCAGAAACCTGCTAGAGGGTTATCTTTAGGTCAGTTTTGATAGGATCAGGCAGTGAGGGGCTGAGTGAGTGCATGATAGACCCAACATTCACATCCTACTACAATGAAGGTAAATGGCAATCATCTTAATTGTATACTCCATGTGTCACTTCACAGACCAAAATGCCTGTACAATTACGCAAGCATTCTGTAAAATAACGTTTGTGAAATCTCAAACATTGCAAAATTATCCTAGAGAGAAATTATCATAATTTTTATGTGCTAGGGTCACATAGACAATCAAAGATAGCTTTTTAAGTCAGTAATTAGAACAAATAAGTATGCTGACAATAATTGGGTAATGGTATGTCTTTAAAACAGGTCCCTGAAAAATACAAGATTGAAGGGTCAAATTCAACCAGAGGTGACCTACTTCTTAAAAATAAATCGTTGATTGAAGGAACATTAGAAATACTTTTAAAAAATGCTTAACTTAGAAAACCTGCCATTAAAAACTGTGATACCCATCAACAAACGAATGGATAGAGAAGCTGTGGTATATATTTACACAATGGAATACTACGCTGTATCAAAAAACAAGGAACTTTAAAAATATATAAAATGGGTGGCCCTAATGGACATGATGCTGAGTGGAAATATATCAGTCACAAAAGGACAAATACTGCATAATGCCACTGTTGTAAAATGGGACTGACATTGGGATTGACAGGAGACTGAGAAAAATGGGATGAACAATGTATACTGCATTGAAACAGATCAAGAGAATTGTTTAAAAGAGATATATGATTAGGTATTGTCATGACAAGAGTCCAGAACGAAGGTTGCACACTGGAGTCCACTTGGAAAGAGGGATTGTATAACAATTAAAGAATTTTACTTTTCAAAGAGAAGAGAGAACTGGGGGAGAGAGGGAGGAGGTTGGGCAGGTAGAAAGTGCAACAATGAATGAATGGATGGAAATCCAAAGTAAACTTTTATTAAAATTAATAAAGAAATAGAACCCCACACCTCACACTATGCACAAAAAACAAGTCAAAGTGGATAAAAGATCTAGGACTAAAACCAAGGACTACAAACTTCATAACAGAAAAGCTTGGAAGAACGCTAGAAGGCCTAATCCACAACATGAACAGTCTTCCAATCATCCTGAAAAACTTATAACCAGGAGAGAATAAAATAGATGAATGGGACCTTCTGAGAAGAAAATTCCTATGCACATCAAAAAACCTTTCCCAAAAGGGTAAAAAGGAAAGCCACAGCTTGGGAAAAAAAATATTTGGTATTGACATGTCTATTAAGGAAGGGACTTATATCTATAATTTGTAGACTATTTCAGCACCACTATAAGACAAAAGCAAACAACCCAGTTGCAAAATGGGCACAGGATATGAATAGATACTTCACCAAAGAAGACATTCAGATGGTGAACAGATACATGAAGAACTGTTCAAAATCCCTAGTTCTGAGATCCAAATAGAAACAACTATGAGATATCGTCTCACCCCAGTAACAATAGCAGAATTCAGCAGAGCAGCAAACAAAAAATGCTGGCAAGGTTGTGGAGAACAGGGACCCTTATTCACTGTTGGTGGGAGTGTTAAATGTTGCCACCATTATGGCACTTTCTCAAGAAGTTGGAAATTGAAATACCATTTGACCCAACAATTCTACTACCGCAAATATACCCTAAATAAATCAGTATTGCCACCCAAGCAGATATATGCACACCCATGTTCATTGCTGCAAAGAACTGGAAACAACCGAAGTCCCCATCACCAAACGATTGATAGAGAAACTGTGTCATAGTCACACAATGGAATACTATGCAGCATGGAAAAAGAAGGAACTCATATATAAAATGGGTGACCCTGGCGGACATTATGCTGAGTGAAATATTTCAGTCATAAAAGGACAAATACTGCATAATGCCACTGTTACAAAACAGGACTGACATGAGGGTTGGGGAGAACTAAGATAATACAGCATAAATATGTACACTACATTGAAACAGATGAGGGAAAGAACTGTTAAAAGAATAAATGATTAGGTGTTAACTGCATGACAATAGTCCAGAATAAGAGCTGCATAATAAAATGGACTGGGGAGTGGGAAGGAAGGAAATTGTGCAACAATTAAAGAATTTTTTTTCAAAGAGAAAAGCAAACTTGGTGGGGGGGTTGGGAGGAAAATGTGCAACAATGAATGAATGGAAATCCAAGTTCTCTATAAACTTTCATTAAAATCTTAATTAAAATAAAAATAACAAACCAACTCTGTTACATGGGGCCACTAGGAGTCATAATCACAGCAGCTGATTTGATTTTTTGTTATATTTAATAAATTATTATGATTGTGGTAGGAAATGTTCAACAAATGATGGTAGTATTTTTACATTTTAGTTTTTTATTGTGAATGATGGTACTATTTTGAAGAAATATTTAGGGATTCCAAGATGGCAGTGGTGGTGGAAACAACGTGGTGAACTGTGGGAGCAGTGGACCACATGGAGGAGTGCTACCCTGGCCTTCTACAGACCTCTGTTTATTGATAATTGAAAAGTGAAACAGTTGATGACTGGTCTTCAAGGTGGATCGAGGTTCAACATCAGGAGATCAAGGATTCTCAGGGAGGAATGAGTGAGTCCTGTGGCTCACAGCCTCCTGCTGCCAAGCTCGCGCCAGTGCTGCAGCTCCATGATGGACACCCCCCCTCCCCCGAGGCTGGTACAGTGGAGCCGCCACACCACAGCAGAGTGGACTGGTTCTGGGGAGAATTCTTGGAGCCAAGATGGCAGCGGCGAGAGACAGGGCAGCAGGATAGGATTTCCTTGGGCAGGCCAGAGAAGATACAGCAGATATCCTCAATGCATTGCATCTTTTGATCTGCTGTCTGCCTTTGCCAAGAACTGTTTAGACCTGGGTGGGGGGTGTCTGTTCACTACTGTCAGGTCACCTTCTCCACATATAAAGGGGGAGGGCAGTGACACCTACTTCAGATTACAGTATGACCACTTATTGGGGGAGAGTACTGGAATTGGGGATGCTGTCTCTGGCCACATGGTCTTCAGTGAGGTACGGGGTGCAGACTTGGGGGTGGGGGTGGGGGACTGTGCCAGCCAGCCATGCGAGTGTGTTGCCCAGACCGTGAGCATTGCCAGTCGGCCTTCGTGGCAGGCAGTCGTTCAGCCCCTGGAGGGCAGCGGGGCAAGCTGTGCATTCGGCTCCCCCAGCAGGCAGCAGGGTGAACCATGTGTTTGGCCCCCGGCAGGGTGAGCTGGCCCTCGGGGTGAGCTCCTCAGCCCTTGGATTGTACCATCTGACCCCTGGCTAGAAAAAACTGCCTAGGGTATGCAGAGAATTTTATCGAGGCTGCTTTCTTCCACCCTCTCCCCCAGTACACCCGTAAGTAACACCCCCAAAGCCCTTCTATTTGTAACTCACAAGCTTGTTCTCTCTAGATTGGATCCCTTTTCTATAGGCAGCCTTAACACTGAATTTTACTCCAGCCTGATCCTGAACCCAGTTCCAGAGACAAAAAAGAAATACAGTGGCCAGTTAAGGAAGCAAAGGAGGATGGAGCCTCAGGGTTCAGTCAGCCATCCCCACTGGACCCACCTGGGAAAACACTTTGCAGTCCAGAGGGGAGTAAATGTCAGAAGAACATCTTCTAACAGAACAAGAAGGCAAGCAGCTTCAACCCAAGACCAGTAGCAAAGTGATAAAGTGTGCTGCCTTTCCCCCTTCACATCAATGCCCCTGTTCAGCATGAAGAAGCCAGAGAGTTTGTGCCCAATTCCCAAATGAGAAACCCAAAAGTGAAAAAAGACAGTTTGTTTAATCACCATTGAGTTTGTTTAATCACCATTGGACTATGCTTACCATTGCCCTGAATCATCTGGTCTCCGCTAGATCCTTTTCATTTCCTTCACTTGCTCCCCCCACCAGCCAAATTGTGCAGCATTGCAACTGCATCCCTGCAATTTTTATCGCTGCCCATCCTCACCCTTCTGCTCCCAACCCTCACCTCCATTTATCCCCAACATGTTTTTCCCAATAAAATAAAAAAAATGAACAAATTATTGTAGCATGAGGCAAATGTGCATCACACATTCATTACCATTAGGTTGCAACCAATTCATAGCTGACCCTTCAGTAGGATTACAGAGGCTGTAAACTGTACAAGAGCATAGAGCAGCTGGTGGAATTGAATTGTCTGCCTTTGAGTTGAAATCGAAAATTCTTAACTCACTTGGCCTCCAGAGCTCCCTAGCATATATAGACTTCACAGTTGTATTTTATTTCTATTTCTTACCTGATTTTATTTTTTCTAAATATAACTGGATACAGTTATTTATCATCTGGATGATCTTAACAACTTCATTCCATATCCACCACTTGCTGTGAAATCCATCAATCACATACCAGTTCTGATGTTGTTCTTGATAATACTGCCGAATATCACCTATGAGTTTTCGGTACTTTGAATTCTTAACAGCTATAATATGTGCACTATTGTGCAATGGATAAGAAAAACTAACAGAACAAATGAAAAATGCAGTTAATATGTTTCTCACACTCCATATGATTAATTTCTTTGTTACTGCTTTTATCATGTACATTACCTCTGTACCTCTTTTCTTTCCAGTATTAATCTTCTGAAAATCTCCTTAGAAGGTACATCCAACTCAAAGATGATCATGGGAATTATTGTTCTGGATTCCAAGAGATCTGTTTGATACTTTGTTACAGGGTATCCATCAATGACAACACTAACAAGGAGAAACATGAAGATGAAAATACGAGAATTTTTTTTTCCTCTTACAGTCTCCCTACTGTCTTCAGAAACAGTCTTTCTCTTTCGGAGTAGCCCTATGTCTTTCCTTAAGTAACTATTTACGTACTTTGCCATAAACCCTCTTTAACTTTACATCTTTACTCTCAATTAGCCAAGAATCAGATGGTGATCAACATATATACAGATCTTGCTCAGAGAATAAAGGATAGGAGAGAACTTAGACTTTAAACATTTAGATTTGTATACTTTGAGAGTTAAAACACACGTTGTTTGTTGTTATGTGCAGTCAAGCTGCTTGCGATTCATAGTGACCCGATGTACAACAGCTCTGAACCCTGCTCTATCCTGTGCCAACTTAATTGTCTGACACATCTACCCCCATTACCCAAGTCACTGAGTCAATCCATCTCATCCAGGGTCTTCCTCTCTTGTGCTGCCCCTCCACACTCCCAAGCATGATGCCCCTCTCTAAGGACTGGTCCCACCTTACAACATGTCCAAAGTATATCAAATGAAGCTTCAGAATCCTTGCCTCCAAAGAACCACCTGGTTTCACTCTCTTTTGGACAAACGTGTTTGTTCTCCTAGCAGTCCATGGTTTATATTCAGTACTCTTCTCCAGCACCACAGCTCAAAGGCATCTATCGATTCAGTCCTCCCTAGTCATTGTCCAGCTTTCTGATGCATAGCAAGTAATTGCAAAGATTATGGCCTAGATCAGGCACACCTAAGTCTCCAGACTGATATCATTGTTCTTAAGTACTTTGGAGTAGCCTCTGACAGCAGACTTTCCCAATGCAATTTGTCTTCTCATTTCCTAGCTGCTGGTACCAAAAATGTTGATTGTGGAGCCAAGCAAACTAAAGCTGTTAATAATCTCTTTACTGTCTATCATGCTGCTGCCAATTGGCCCAGTGGTGAGATTCTTTGTTTTCTTGATGTTGAGCTTCATAAGTGAAGGCTGCAGTCCTTGACTTTCTGTAGCAAGCACTTCAGGTCCTCCGCAGTTTTCAGCAAGCAGGGTTGTGTCATCAGCATAACGCAGATTGTTGATAGATCTTCCATCAATCCTGATGCCACATTCCTCCTCATAGAGCCCAGCCTCCTGAATAATCTATTCTGCATATAGATTGAAAAGATGTAGAGATAGGACACATCCCTGGCGTACACCCATCCCAATTTTGAACCATGCAGTGTTTCCTTGTTCTGTTCTGTTCTGGTGACTGCCTCCTGGTCCAAGTATAGGTTTCACATAAGCACAATCAAGTGTTCTGGGATTTCCATTCTTCTCAGAGCCAAGAGAACAAAGTTTGGGTTAGGAATATTTCTCAAGGTGGTATTTTTGCTTTTTAATAGTTTCAAGAGATCTTCTGTAGTTGCTTTGTCCAATATAATGCCATTTTGATTTCTTGACTACTACCTTCATGCTGTTAGTATGGGTCAAAGTAAAATAAAATCATTGTCAGCTTCACTTTTTTCAGCTTATCATGCTGTTACTTACTGGTCCAGTTCTGTTTTCTTAATATTGCAGTCTAATATAGTCTGTGACCTTAATCAGGTAAGTGCTTCAGATCTTCATTTTTAGCAAACAGAATTACCTTCTGCATATCCTAGTGGCAAGAAACTGCACTGCAATCCCGAAGGCATTCAGTTCTAAGCCACCAGCTGCTCCTTGGGAGAAGGATGGGTAGTCTCTTCCTGTGTGATTAATTGTCCATGAAAACTGTTTAGAGGATCGTTCTTACGCGACAGTACACAGCAATAACAACACATGTTGTTAAAAAGTCTTTCACTCAAACTTGCTTCTCTACATATACATGCATATACTTTCCCCCGCCCCAGCTTCTCAGATTATTTGCTAAGCACATAGGCTGAATAAGTATGGTAAAAGAATACAGCCCTGATGCACATCTTCGCTGATTAACTCCTTGTTCTAGTGGAATGGCTGCTGCTGCTTCTTGGTAAATGTTGTTACGTGCTGCCGAGTCAGAACCGACCCATAACTGACCCTCTAGTGGGTTTTCAGAGGCAGTAAATCACACAGGAGGAGATGGCCTAGCCCACAGAGCAGCTGGTGGATTCAAACTGCATGCTTTTGTGATGGCAGTGTTGTTCCTTAGTAGTTGTTGTTATATGCCATCGAGTTGTTTGAGACTCATAGCGACCTTATGTACAAGAGCTCTAAACGCTGTTCTATCCTGTGCCAACCTAGCCATCTCAAATGCACTTATTCCCCACCACTCCAGTCACAGAATCGATCCATCTCATCAAAGAACTTCCTCTCCTTCGTCGCCCCTACACTCTGCCAAACATGATGTCCCTCTCCAAGGACCAGTACCTCCTTGCAACATGCCCAAAGTATGTCAGATGAAGCTTCAGAATCCTTCACTCCAAGGAGCATTCCAGCTTCAGCTTTTCCAGGACAAACCTGTTTCTTCTCCTAGCCATCCATGGTATATTCAACAGCCTTCTCCAGCACCACAGCTCAAAGGCATGAATTCTCTTTCTGTCAACCCTATTCACTGTCCAACTCTCCGATGCATAGCACGTAATTGCGAAGACTATAGCCCTGATCAGGTGCACCTTAGTCTCCAGCCTGATGTCGTTGCTCTTCAGTGCTCTTGAGAGGTCCCTCACAGCTGACTTTCCCAATGCAATTCGTCTCTTGATTTCCTGGCTGCTGGTAACCGAGAGTGTTGATGGTGAAGCCAAGCAAACTAAAACTGTTATCTCAATCTCTTGACAATCAATACTGATGCTGCCAACTGGCCCAGTGGTTGGAATCTTTGTTTTCTTGATGTTGAGCTTCAATCCATATAGGAGGCTGCAGTCCTTGATCTTCTGAGCAAGCGCTTCAGGTCCTCCTCAGTTTCAGCAAGCAGGGTTGTATCATCTGCATAACGCAGGTTGTTGATGATTCTTCCACCAATCCTGATGCCACATTCCTCCTCGTACAGCCCAGTGTCTTGGATGATCTGTTCTGCATACAGATTGAAAAGGTATGGAGACAGAATACATCCCTGATGGACCCCCTTCTTGATTTTGAGCCATGTAGTGTCTCCTTGCTCTGTTCTGACTGCTGCCTCTTGGTCCAAGTATAGGTTTCACATTAGCACAATCAAATGTTCTGGGATTCCCATTCTTCTCAGAGTCAGCCACAGCTTGTGATACACACAGTCAAAAGGCATAGTCAATGAAGCACAGATAGACATTCTGATATTCTTTGCTTTCTGCCAAGATCCATCTAACACTAGGCTATAATATCCCTAGTACCATGACCTCTTCTAAATCCAGCCTGTACATCTGACAGTTCTCTGTTGACATATTGTTCCATATGTTTTTGGATCATTTTCAGCAGAATCTTGCTTGAATGTGATATCAATAATATTGTTCGATAATTTCCACACTCTGTTGGGTCACCTTTCTTTGGAATGGGAACAAATCTCCATCTCTTCCAGTCAGTTGGCCAGCTGGCTGTTCTCCAGATTTCTTGGCACAACTTAGCACATCCAGGGCACATGAGCCTAATTATTTGTTCTGGAATTCCCAGTATTTGCAGTGTTATCCATAATGTGACAGTCAAACGATTTTTCACAGGCAATAAAACATAAGTAAACTCTTTCTGGGGATTCACTTGAGGAAATGTTCTTTGAGAAGGCAACATGGGTTTACATCTCTTTTTTTTTCCATTGACCCTTCATGTGCCGAGAGAGTGAGACCTGAGAGTATTTGTAGTGGAGAAGTGAAAATTTCCGCTGTTCGTTCTTCTGCTACTAGAATAGAAGGTAGAGAGTTCTTGGGAAAATTTAGCAGGGCTCTGCAGGAATTTGGGACACACCACAGGTGTCCGCCTCTAGCCTGGTAATGCCTGGTACTGTCACGTCTACTTTTTGTGACAGTAGATGACTACAAAAGAACGCAAATAGCAGGTCAAACTCTGGAACAGGAGGCTGCCATGATCCAGGTGGATGGTGCTGGCAGCATCTTGGTGGGACCTCTCTTGCTAAATCCTGCCCCAAAGGCTGATTTCTGGGCACTTAGAAGTTTGTCATGACAACAGGTATTTAACAACCAAAGCACTTAACAGAGTCTTCCCCATCTCACTTTTTTCTATTCCTTTATCCCAGCTGTGGGTATAGGACGCATTTTCCTGGTTTTGGTTTTCTATCTACGAGGTAGCCTGTCTTTGAATTTTTTTCAAGAACAAAACCTGTGTTCTGTTATTAAGGGTATGGAACTAACATGCATATACAAAATGACCTTTCATTTTAACATTTTGACATGAAATTTTCAAGGTAAAATAGTTTCTAATTATTTTTCTAGTGAGAAATTTCTTGAAATATTTAACTCCAAATCCTGCCCTACTCCAGGACTCACTTACCCAGCAGTATTGCATACACTGTCCATCAGAGATATTTCCAAGGCTTGAATAGCCAGTTCATCAGGTGCTGTCAACCCTTTATGAAGGTGCCAATTTAGCATAAGTGCCAGCTCTGTTTCTGGTTGGTTGGTTAATATATAACGCAAAGCATCCCCAATTGATAAGCGTTTTAAGCCATACACGCTTGCAATATTTTTGGAAACTGGAAAACATTAAAATGTTGGGAAATAACTCATTTTAAAACCTCATCAGTTAATCTTGGTTTTGGATTATAAGTAATGATAGCAAGAATAAACTCATTTCACATTCCTCAAAGAAATTTGGTTTGTTGCTTTTTTAATTAAAACTGTGATTTTAACAAACGTTTACAGAGAAATTAGTTTTATTCATTCATTCATTGTTGCATTTTAGCATCTCTCCCTCCCTTCCCCCTTCCCTAGTTAACCTTTTATTATCATTAATTTATTATTGTATAAAAATAAATTTTGAAAATGAAAATTGTCATATTGAGTAATAATGTCAGTCATTATTAGTACTTTAAGTGATTGGCCTATTTGGTGAATGAGGTGACTCTTGATTTTTATTTTCATAATAAAGCCAGCATTTAAGTGTTTCTTTTTGCACAAGGTAGTAATATTTTTAAGATTACTTTAAGACCCCTTATCTGGACTATTTGTATTAAATATTATGTCTAAAATAAATACTTAATATTCCTGTTTTACTGCATTGTACCTGTTCATCTATTTACATAAAGGATGCATAAGTCACGTTGACATAACTTTCGGTTATTGTTAGCTGTCATTGAGTTAGTTGGTGTTGACTCAGGGTGAACCCATGTACAAAAGGACAAAACAAGACCTGCCTGCTTCTGCACCATATGCTGGACACTATTCTAGTGTAATCCACAGAGTTTTCATTTAATTCTTGGCAGTAGACTGGTAAGCCTTTCTTATTAGCCTGTCTGAGTTTGTTGGGTTTTTTTTGTTTTTTTTTCTATAATTATATTTTATTAATTTTCATAAACATTTACAGAGATTCTGGGCTTCCACTCATTCATTGCTGCACCACTCTCTCCACCCTCCTCCCAGTTTGTTCTTGTCCAAATACCACAGTGCTTGTCAAAGCCAGTTCTGATTAATCTTCTTTGTCAGTGTATCCTTTGCCATTCCCTATCACTCCTCCCTGAGAGAGACTTCACCCTGAGTCATAAGGAAAAGGGGACGGCGTATTCTCTTAGCTACTTCCTGCTGAAAAGGGACGCTGTGGGTTTCAGGGTGAAGATCTTCTCTCACTACTCTAAAGGGCCCCTTTGGCAGTAGGAAACACATAGACTATTATGGAGATTGATTTTGGATTTCAGATGCACTCTTATTGATTGTGCTTGGCTGTACATGTACATATCCTTCAAGATGTATCATGGGGGTGTTGCAACCTAGAAGACACGAATTTGACTAACAAGTTATAAGTACATGAGTCCAAAAATTATGGAAAAGTAAAAGAAAAGATTCTTTCATTGTTTTACAAACCCTCCCCCAGGTCCCCTCCACCATGCAGCCCTCGCTCTAGTCTCCTGTGATGACAGAGATACCCAGTTACATCTCTCTTTTAGACGGTTCTCTCCCTCCTCTGTTTCAGTGCAGTATACATTATTGAACCCATCTTACTCAGTCTCTCCCCAACCCCAAGGACAGTCCCATTCTACAGCAGTGGCATCATGTAATATTTGTCCTTTTGTGACTGGGATATTTCACTCAGCATAATGTTCTCCAGAGTCAACCATTTTGAATAATATTGCATGAGTTCCTTGTTTTTTAATGCAGCATAGTATTCCATTGTGCGAATATACCACAGCTTCTCTAGCCATTCGTTTGTTGATGGGCACTTAGGTTGTTTCCAACTCCTTGCTATTGTGAACAAAGCTGCAATAAACATGGGTGTGCATATATCTGCTTGGATGTCAGCTATGGTCTCTTCAGGGTATATTCCCAGTAGTGGAATTGCTGGGTCAAATGGTATCTCTATTTGCAACTTTTTGAGAAAGCGCCATACTGCTTTCCACAGGGGTTGCACCATTTTACACTCCCACCAACAGTGAATCAGGGTTCCAGTTTCACAACAACCTCGCCAGCATTTGTTGCTTGCTGTTCTGTTAAATTTTGCTATTTTGACTGGGGTGAAATGATATCTCATAGTTGTTTTAATTTGCATCTCTCTTAGGGCTAGGGATTTTGAGCATTTCTTCATGTGTTTGTTAGCCATCTGAATGTCGTCTTCGGTGAAGTGCCTGTTCATATCCTGTGCCCATTTTTCTATTGGATTATTTACCTTTATCTTGTTGTGGTGCTCAAGTATTTCATAAATTCTGGATATAAGTCCCTTATCTGATATGTTATTACCGAATACTTTTTCCCAGTCAGTGGCTTCCCTTTTTACCCTACTGGAGAAGTTTTTGGATGTGCATAGGGATTTGAGTCTTAGAAGGTCCCATTCATCTATGTTATCTTCTCCTGGTTGTAGCCTGTCTGAGTTTTGAGGTTCTGAGAAAACCTGTCCATCACGAGTGACTTTTCTGGTAATTGAAATATTGGTATCAGAGTTTCTAGCATCATAGCAACATACAAGTCAACACAGGATGACAAATGGACAAAGGGTTGTATACTTATACAGTTAGGTCTCAGTTAATCCTCTACGAAATAGATTTTTTCTTATTGTGATCTGAGTGAAGGTTTATAAAGCAAATTTTTCATTCAACTATTCAACCATTTTGTTCAATAGCACTAATTTCCATACCCATAATGAATCACGTTTTCCCACTTCCTCCTGTAATTCTGATTTTCATTAATCCTGCTATACTTCTTTTTATCTTCCCTTCTTCAGTGATACCATATTGATCATTTGTTTATTGAATATCACCATTCTGTTTGCCCATCTTCATGTTGTTAAGTGCTATCAAATAAAGACTCAGAACAACACTATGAACAGCAGACCTGAATCCTGCACTATCCTGTGCCATCTTTATCATCTCTGACACACTTGAGCCCTTTGCTGCAGTCACTATGTCATTAATTCCATCTCATTGAGGATTGTCCTCTCTTTCACTGACCCTCCTTTCCAACCATTATGTTCCTTTCCACATAACAGCCTCTCCTAGCAACATGTCCCAAAGTCAAGGAGATGGAGCTTCATCATCTTTGCTTCTAAGGAGCACTCTGGTCGTACTTTTTCCAAGACATACCTGTTCTTTTGGAAGTTCATGAGATCTTCAGTACTCCTCTCCAGCTCCACAATTCAAAGGCGTCAGTTCCTTTGTCTTTTTAATTGCCCTTATTAATCCTATTCTTTATTACTTAATCAGGCCATCTTTCTATGTGCCTTTTATTTATTTACACTAATTTTTTACTCCCTCTCCCAACTCATCCCTGGTAACCATCCAAAAGTGAGTCTGTGTTCAAATCTTCCCTTAGCTTTAAATGACTGGTTTTATACAATATCCTTTTGTAACTGACTCATTTCCTTTATCATAATGTCTTCTAGATGCTTCTATATTATACAGTGTTTCATGAATTATTTATTGTTCTTTAATATTTCATACTACTCCATTGTATGACTGTCTCAAACTTGTTTTAACCATTTGTCTGGTGATGCTTTCCATCTCTGTGCTATAGTAAATAATGCTGCAGTAAATATGTTGTTAGTCAAGTTTAACTCAAAGTGACCATGTGCACAACCAAGCTAAACTCTACGTGATCCTGTGCCATTTTCACTATCTCTGCTGTGCTGAAGCTCTATGTTGAGATCACTGTGTCAATCCATCTAGAGGATTGTCCTCTTCTCCTTTGTTGACCTGCTGCTTTTCTAAGCATGATGTCCTTTTCTGGGGACTGAGCATTCCTGATATTATAACCTAAATATGTGAGATGAAGTCTTAGCATCCTAGCTTCTGAGCATCATTCTCTTTGCTCTTTTTTCAACACAGAGTTGTTCATTTTTCTGACAGTCATGGTATATTTAATATTCTTTGCCAATACTGTAATTCAAAGGCATCCATTTTACATTGGTTTTCTTTATTCATGATGCATATGAAGCAATTGAAAATATAGCTTGGATCAGGTTCCTCAGAGCTTTTACATGGACATTCTTGCTCGTTAGAACCTTAAAGAAGTTCTTGATGGCAGATTTGTCCATTTGTTTTTTTTTAAGATTTGTCTGTTTGGTTTTTTTACTGTTGTTTTCTTAGGTGTTGATTGTAATACAATTAAAAGGAAATATTTTCCCATTTATTATGATATTATTTATTGGTTAAATTATAAGGACTTTTGTTATCTTGATATTGAGGGGCAATCCCTACTGAAGGTTGTAGTCTATCATATTCTTTAATATGTGCTTTGATCCTCCCATTCAACAAGCCTGGTATTTCATCTCCATATTGAAAGTTGTTGATGAGTCTTCTTCCAGTCTTGATGATAATTGTAATTCACTATGTAAATATCTTTTAGTGTATTTCATATAGCCTGGTTTTTCCGATTATTTGCTATTATATGTGGCATGTTCCATTATACACAGTTTCTGAGCGTTTGCCTGCAAACAGTTGGGTTCTTCATGTGTCGGTAAAGACACAGATTTCAGGTCTAACTGATTTGGCACACAGTCAAAAACAATCAAAGGGAAAGTTCCTGTGAGGGTGGCCAAGCTTTTAACCTCAGCTTTGCCACACACTCTTAAGATCATAAATATTTTTTTATTCCTGAAATAATTGTTTTTCAAATGTGACTGCTTATTTATTTTAAAAAACATCTTTATACACAGGGTCATAAATTATTGCCCTTATTCCTATTTTACGTTTTGCTCTGGATGTGGGATTTTACTTTACATGCCAACATACTATTCTTTGGGAAACGTTGTTGTTATGTACCATTGAGTCGTTTGCAACTCATAGTGACCCTGTGTACAAGAGCCCTAAACGCTGTTCTATCCTGTGCTAACCTCGTTGTCTCAAACAGATTCATTCCCACCACTCCACTCACAGAATCAATCCATCTCATCGAGGGTCTTCCTCTCCTGTGCTGTTCCTCCATTCTCCCAAACATGATGTCCCTCTCCAAGGACCAGTACCTCCTTGCAACATGCCCAAAATATGTCAGACAAAGCTTCAGAATCCTTGACTCCAGGGAACATTCTGGCTTCACCCTCTCCAGGACAAAACCTGTTTGTTCTCCTAGCAGTCCATGGTATATTCAATACTCTTCTCCAGCACCACAACTCAAAGGCATCAATTCTTTTCTGTCATCCCTATTCATTGTCCAACTCTCCGATGCATAGCACATAATTGCAAAGACTATGGCCTGGATCAGGCACACCTTAGTCTCCAGACTGACGTTGTTGCTCTTCAGTACTCTTGAGAGGTCCCTCACAGCTGACTTTCCCAATGCAATT